GTCCTTTTCAGGACGACCAAAACATGACAAAAGATTTAAGAGAATTTTCATAATTTTAAAGTATAAATAAAATGCTCCATGCAGGCTAACGCACATTTTAGTTGGTAGCGAAGAAGTTGCAGGGAATAAAAGAAGTACAGTTGTGCTCGACGCATTGGAAATTGTGATATTGTGCCTAATATTTTCTGTCGTGGGGGATATGACAAACAAACCTTTTTTTTGCCCACCTACGCAAGTACCCTTTTCCAACATATTGCAGCACTTTGACTAAACATTCTGCCTACCGCGATATCTCTCTGGGTATTCTAATTTTCTACCGCAGGAGAGGAAATAGCACTAGGGACCATGTAATTTTCCAACAGCATCACGCTTAATGCTTATGCTTATGCAGCGTACTTTGATGGGAGCACACTTTTATTATTAAAATACAAGTTTTGAAAATGTGTCTTCTCTTTTAGATTATTTTGTGGTCCTGAAAAGGACCGATTGTTTACTTTCGAACAGGAGACTGAACAAATTTTCTTAACCGCCGAAACCGTACAGCGTGCGGCCTTGCCTCTTCAGAGCATACACAACATCCATGGCTGTGACTGTCTTCCTCTTGGCGTGTTCGGTGTAGGTGACGGCATCACGGATAACGTTTTCCAAAAACACCTTCAGCACTCCACGAGTCTCCTCATAGATGAGTCCCGAGATACGTTTTACACCGCCACGACGAGCCAAACGGCGGATAGCGGGCTTCGTGATACCCTGGATGTTATCACGCAGAACCTTGCGATGACGCTTAGCGCCTCCCTTTCCCAAGCCTTTGCCACCTTTACCACGACCAGTCATTTTTTTTCACTACCTTGCTTCACGAAACAAATATCAGGAACGAATGTTGTACTGCCGAAAAGTACACTCCTATTTATACTAAAACACCACCGAAACACGAGTGAGTCCGAATGATATGCTCATCTCGCTCGGGAAATGAAATAGCATGCTTCGGGCTGCTCTCGCTCTCGTTTCAACCCTCCGCCAGGAGAATGCTATATAAGCAAGCATCAGTGCCTGCGATCGCTTATTGTAAATTCGAATTTCAAACGTTGAAGTGAAAATTGAAGATGGCCCGTACCAAGCAGACTGCTCGTAAATCCACTGGTGGCAAGGCGCCACGCAAACAACTGGCTACTAAGGCTGCACGTAAAAGTGCTCCAGCAACCGGTGGCGTGAAGAAACCTCATCGTTATCGCCCTGGCACTGTTGCCCTGCGTGAAATCCGTCGTTACCAGAAGAGTACCGAGCTGCTGATCCGCAAACTGCCTTTCCAGCGGTTGGTTCGTGAAATCGCTCAAGATTTCAAAACCGACTTGCGTTTCCAGAGCTCGGCAGTAATGGCACTGCAGGAAGCTAGCGAAGCCTATCTGGTCGGTCTCTTCGAAGATACCAACTTGTGTGCCATCCATGCCAAGCGTGTCACAATCATGCCCAAGGACATTCAACTGGCCAGACGTATTCGTGGCGAGCGTGCTTAAGTTGATATTTCTTCGACAAGCGCATAGCAATTGTATTCAAATCGGTCCTTTTCAGGACCACAAAATAACTTCCATTGAGATTTTTTATTTCTGCATGCTAGTCGTATTATTTTTCTCAAATAAAGTATTTACATATATAACATATCTTTGCTTCGTCGTAGTCAGTTTGGCTACTCAATATTGTGCGAAAGCCTTGTTTTACTTATGCAATATAAACAAATCGGCAATTCAATGGGGACATCATCCATCCAATAAATTCTTACCGTATATGATTCGTATTAAATGTTCCGATGTCATGTCGACTTGTTATTCGAGTGGATATTCTTACGAGGGGCATTTTGAATAATTGTTTATAAAAAATGTGTGCATAGAAACCATTGTTTGTCTGTAGAAATCCTTTATACTCAATTTTAGTATTATACGCGCTTTTACAATGACCAATAAATTCCACATTTTTGATATTCTTGTTTATGGGACAGAAACTGTTTGACAAAGGTTTTTGAGGCTTCCACTAGTACCACTATCATGTATTAAAAGGCCGTTTAAAATATAAATATGTGAAAATATTATAAAAAAATAATGAAGAAATGTTCTTAAGATTCACACTAATTGGGGTAGACAATTAAATTTACGAAAAATAGATTCTTTCGATTTTTGCTTTGAGATAAATGTAGGTGGTAGTGCTATGTGGGTATGAAAGGCTGTTATTTGTGGCTAAATATTTGCAAAAATGGATCATAAATAATATTAAATTGAAAATCATATTGATTTCCTTAAGAAAAAAGTCTAACAATAACATATTTTTAAACATTTATATTTTTTGACCCCTAAATTCAGTGCTGAAAATACCCAGAAAGTAGTCTTTTTGTACTCTATAGGGTTATCTTCAAAACGATTTAAAAATACCATTCTAACCGATAAGTGAATATCTGATCAATGACCCTTAAAGTAAATAAATCAAATTTTATGTTTCAAAAATAAGTTTTGTTAAATAAGCTTACATTGGTATTTATTAATGTCATTGAATCCAAAACATAAGAGTTGGATATCTAGTTGTCAAAGTTTGCACATGTATTAAAAATCGATGATGGACGATACTTAAAAAACGAATTATTTACAATAATATTTGAAACATTTGAGAATATGAATCAATCAAAATTGATTTAAATTATTTAATAATTATATACAGAAAAGCCAAAATAAGTCGGACGTTCAATGAAACTTTTGCAACACAAATCACCAATGCTAAAATCATCGTCGTACTGCCCTTCTCCTCGATTCTCACTCGAACGGGTGACCTGGGATTTATTCCAACCAGCCACGAATTCATTAAAAAGTGTATTATTTTTGTGAAGAAATATGTCTGATTCTGCAGTTGCAACATCCGCGTCTCCAGTGGCTGCTCCACCAGTACCAGCTGAGAAGAAGGTGGCCGCCAAAAAGGCATCTGGATCCGCTGCGGCTACTGCAAAGGCTAAGAAGCCCGCAGCGCCACCAACGCATCCCCCAACTCAGCAAATGGTTGACGCTTCGATTAAGAGCTTGAAGGAACGTGGGGGCTCATCGCTCCTGGCAATTAAGAAATATATTACTGCCGAATACAAATGCGATGCCCAGAAACTAGCTCCATTTATCAAGAAGTACTTGAAGTCAGCCGTTGCCAACGGAAAGCTGATCCAAACAAAGGGCAAAGGTGCCTCTGGTTCGTTCAAACTGTCGGCTTCCGCCAAAAAGGAGCCCAAGCCAAAGGTTGCATCTGTCGAAAAGAAAGTGAAAACTAAGAAGGTGGTCTCATCGGCAGCAGCCAAGAAAACAGCAAGCCCCAAAAAAGCAGCCGGAGCTGGCGACAAGAAGCTAAAGGCAAAGAAGGCAGTCGCCACCAAGAAGACCGCCGAGAAGAAGAAAACTGAGAAGGCAAAGGCCAAGGAAGTAAAGAAAACTGGAACCGTGAAAGCGAAGCCTGCTGCGGCAAAGGCCAAGTCGAGCCCTGCAAAGCCAAAGCCAAAAGCAAAGGCAGTAGCAGCAGCGACGTCTGCCAAGCCCAAGAAGACGACGAAAAAGCCCGCTGCTCCCGCGACCGTCAAGAAGCCGAAAGCAAAGACGACGGCGGCCAAGAAGTAAATTGCGAAATGGTACACGGTGGTGTACATGGTCGCACTTGCACTCGAAATTTTAGATGTATACATCTGAAATGGATTTAAACAAGCCCTTTTCAGGGCTACAAAACTATACGAAAAGAGATACAAATTATCGAGCCTTGAATTACTTATGATAAGCCACAGATATTGATTATTAGCGTAACTTAGCGTTCCTCGACGCAGACGCCGATCTAAAAGAGTTTTTCAAAACAGAACCTAGCCGAACTGTTCGCCTGGAGAACGATGCACAGGCATAGTGTATATAGATTGTTTTGGTCTCTAGCAAATCGAAGATTGCAGTTAACTGATCTTTTTATTAAATATTGTCAAAATTGAAAATGGCATTCTTTGGAAAAACATTTTTGTGGCCCTGAAAAGGGCCTTTTTGGGTTTTGCTCTGCAGAGAAACAAATTTACTTGGAGCTTGTGTACTTGGTGACAGCCTTGGTTCCCTCACTAACAGCGTGCTTGGCCAACTCTCCCGGCAGCAGTAGGCGCACAGCCGTTTGGATTTCCCGACTGGTGATGGTTGAGCGCTTGTTGTAATGAGCCAAACGAGATGCTTCGGCAGCAATACGCTCGAAGATGTCATTCACAAAGCTGTTCATGATGCTCATCGCTTTCGACGAAATACCAGTGTCAGGGTGGACTTGCTTCAGAACCTTGTAAATGTAGATGGCATAGCTCTCCTTCCTCTTGCGCTTCTTCTTCTTGTCGTTCTTGGTGATGTTCTTCTGAGCCTTTCCAGCCTTTTTGGCTGCCTTTCCACTAGTCTTGGGCGGCATTTTATTTCACTTCACTTTTACAGTTTACACTTTGTGTTCCTGGCGTGTTGGACCACAAAACCTTATACTTTTATTTGAGCAGTCTATTCAGGTTTGAGATACAGACGAAAAACCCACCCCTACGATGAACGCCCAGACTGACGGAAAAAGTATAAATATAGCGACGGGTGTCGGCTTCTCAACATTCGTTTGTGAACAGTGAAAAATAAATATCTGCTATTAAAATGTCTGGTCGTGGTAAAGGTGGCAAAGTGAAGGGAAAGGCAAAGTCTCGCTCGAACCGTGCCGGTCTTCAGTTCCCTGTTGGTCGTATTCATCGTCTGCTTCGCAAGGGCAACTATGCCGAGCGTGTCGGTGCTGGCGCTCCTGTTTACCTGGCTGCCGTGATGGAATACTTGGCCGCTGAAGTTCTTGAGTTGGCTGGCAATGCTGCCCGTGACAACAAGAAGACGAGAATTATCCCTCGCCATCTGCAGCTGGCCATCCGCAACGATGAGGAGTTGAACAAGCTGCTCTCAGGCGTCACCATTGCTCAGGGTGGTGTTTTGCCCAACATCCAGGCCGTTCTGCTGCCCAAGAAGACCGAGAAGAAGGCATAAGTGCTCCAATAGCAACAATATACATTCTTGTACATACACATATAAACCCAAACGTCCTTTTCAGGACGACCAAAACATGACAAAAGAATTAAGAGAATTTTCATAAGTATAAATAAAATATATATATGCTCTATGCAGGCTAACGCACATTTTAGTTGGTAGCGAAGAAGTTGCAGGGAATAAAAGAAGTACTCGACGCATTGGAAATTGTGAAATTGTGCCTAATATTGGGGATATGACACACAAACCCTTTTTTTGCCCACCTACGCAAGTACCCTTTTCCAACATATTGCAGCACTTTGACTGTACATAAATACATTCTGCCTACCGCGATATCTCTCTGGGTATTCTAATTTTCTACCGCAGGAGAGGAAATAGCACTAGGGACCATGTAATTTTCCAACAGGAACACGCTTAATGCTTATGCAGCGTACTTTGATGGGAGCACACTTTTATTATTAAAATACAAGTTTTGAAAATGTGTCTTCTCTTTTAGATTATTTTGTGGTCCTGAAAAGGACCGATTGTTTACTTTCGAACAGGAGACTGAACAAATTTTCTTAACCGCCGAAACCGTACAGCGTGCGGCCTTGCCTCTTCAGAGCATACACAACAT